ATTCAAAGAGATTCGAATTCTTCCAGCAAGTGCTTACTGAACACCAATAGAAAGACAGAAGGAAGGGTTGAAGGAAAAACTCGAGGGATGGCACAAGGGAGAAAGAGACCCTCAAAACGTTAAGGAATTCAGGTTGTCAATGCCCCTTATTCCGTTAAAGAACAGAAATGTGTTAGCCATGCCCAGCAATACATTAGCCTAATGCTAATTGCTAAGCAATCTTTTCTGGATTGCTACCGTTCATGCAAATGCATTTCCTGTCTTCTAGAAAGTTTAATGTAAGAACGAAGACAAGTCAGATTGCTTACAGCTGTGAGATGTTCAGAGTCATATGTCCCCCAGGAAGGTACAATGAGAATCTGTGGGAAAAGTGCTCTGACAAGACTTACAGATGCTAAGGACTGGGCCACAGTGAAACACAACCTTTGACGAAAATGAGCTTTCATCCTTTTATCTTCTAAAAGAAGTCTTAAAAGAATCACATCACCTTGTTCTGGGGGTAAGCATGGAAGGGGTCCTACCCAGGCTCTGAAGGAGAACAGCGACGGTACTAATCTTCTTCGCTGTCATTCAATTTCACACAAAATGGATCTCAGTTTTCATCAGGCAACAGGATAGAAGATATGATGGTTGGTTTTGATTGTCAGTCTGACAGAATTTAGAACCACCTAGGAGAGACACCTTTGGGAGTGTCTGTGAGAGCGTTTAACTGAGGGGAAATCTGTCACTAGGATGACAGTTCTTGACAGAAACAAAGGAAGAAAGGCTCAGGGTTTAGTCCCCAGGCATGGAGGAGCAGATCAGCTAACATCATGGTAACGGAGCATGTGGCCCAGGCTGCTCTCATGGCAGCAAACCAGGAATAGCCCCCCGCCCCGACTTCCTTTAACAAGAGCCCACCTCCTAACAGTCCCACAGCTTCCCAGAGCAGCACCACGTACTGGGGAATAAACAGCCAAATAAACATCCAATCCATGCACCTGTGAAGCTGTGGGGACATTACATGTTCAAGCCAGAACAGAGATGCTTGCAAGATGTCTGAGCCCTGTGAATAGGTTTGGAGGTATAAAGAAGCACCGGGTGCCCTCACAAGAAACTGAGCTGTTCCCGTTCTCCATATTTGATGATGTTTATTAGTTTTTTTAAATTGGTCTCTGCCCTCAGGTGTGTTGAAAGAGCTCGGCTTTACAAAGGGACAGCCAGTTCCAGCCTGACCTAGCAATGAAAGCATCTGCAGACGGGCAGAGCTTACGTCCATGTGCTACCTGCTCATGCCAAAGCCCAGACTATGACTATGGGTCCCCCATCCATTTCTGATGCAATTTAATTAGAGGGAAGTATTTTCTGAATGAGCAGGCAGACTTTTTCATGAGGTAATCACTCAGAAGAAGCACTGTTTGGTCAGAAGAGGCATCACAATTGGGTTTTAAAGAACTTAAGGTATGAGACAAAAACAAAGATGTGTATGAGACTGAACGGCAATGGGAAAGAACTAAAGCTGATGACTGCCTTGTCTCTCGGAGCCCTGGGCACGAACCACAATAAATAAATAGAGGTTGTCTAAAAGATTGACAATGAAAAGACAACAAAAATAAGAAAAATCACAGCACGGTTCACCGGGGAGCACAATGCTGTTAGTTTCAGCCAGAGAAACTGTATTTTAGTCTGAGCCTCAAAAATTCAAGCCACTTCCAAAGTGTAATTTTGGCAATAGAATTAAACCAGACATAATATAAAAGTCACTGGAAACTCCCCCAAAGAGTTAAAAATTAAACACGACACAATCTCCAATGAAACAGAAGTCACACCTATTGTGGTGGGCACACCTATTAGATATGCTGAAGAGGTGGAGGCAAGAGGGTTGCTAGTTCAAGGCCAGCCTGGGCTATACATTAAAAAAGGAAAGAAAAGAAAGGGAAAGGTCACAATAGAAATTAGAAAATAGTCAACATAAAATAAAAGCAATATATCAAACAGATGGGATGTAGCTACTTTATTTTGTGACAGGATCTTACTATGTAGCCCTGGCTGGTCTGCAACTCACTGTACCTCAGACCTATGAACCAAATCACCACCTTAGGAGTTTAGAAAAATAAAAAAAGCAAGAAAGAAAAAGCATAAACTGGTACAACTGAGAACAGTAAGAAAACAGAAAATCAAGGAAACTGGCTCTTTGAAAAAAATAATCTTAAAGACAAAGTTATGGGAGCACAGGAAAAGGAGGGGACGCAACTGAATAATATCACTAGCAACCCTGCAAACACTAAGAAATAATGTGAATATATAATAAGCAACTTCAGGATCCTAAAGGGAAACATCTAGAGAAAATGAACATATGTCTTCAAAGATACAAAGTACTAAAGTTCACTCAAGAAGAAAAATAATCTGAGTACTACTGTATAAATTTAGAGAAACTGAATTCCTAGTTAAGAATGGTATTTGTCACTTTTTGCTGCTGTGATAAAACATCACGACCAAAAGCGACTTATGGAAGAGTTTATTTGGGTATCCGAGGGAGAGTCCTCCATCACAGCAGGGAAGGCATGGTGTAACAGGCTCGGCTAGAGCAGGAAGCTGAGAGATCACATCTCAAGAAGCAGAGAGCAAGAACAGGAAGTGGAGAAGGCTATAAACCCTCAAAGACCGCTCCAAATAGTGCCACCAACTGGGGACCAAGTGCTCAAATACTCGAGTCAGTGGGGAACATTACACATTCAAAGCACTGCAAGTCCCTTCTGGCCGTCCAGGAGTGGTGGCTCACATCTGTGATCCCAGCAGCAGAGACACAATAGTCTTGAATTTGTGACCAACCTGAGCGAAACTGTGAGTTTCAGGTTAGCCTAAGGTACATGAGACCCTGGCTCAGAAACAAAAATCAACCTGTGCTGTATCTTTGCAAAGGAATTCTACTTCAGAAGTAAGGGCTGCTGACACATTCAAGTGTATCAGGCTACCATGTATGCATGCACTCAGGCCCTATGATTACATTTATATGGTATCCTGGAAAGAGACTTCGAGGGATACACAACATATCAGTAGTTTCCAGAGGCCTGGGGTTGGGAGAGAGGCTCTCTACAAACCACAAAAGGGCATTTGGGATGGTAAGGAACTGTTCTGTACCTAATCTGTAGAGATTTACATGATGGTATTTGCTGAAATTCAACAGAACTACAGACTAAAAGGGATGACTACTACTGCATATGAGTTATACCACATGAACCCTCATTTTCATTTTAAGGAGACTTTAGAATGGATTTAGAAATACAACAATGATCAGGGCCCAGTGAGTGAGGAAACTTTTGTTAGGCTAGAAGAACAGCTACTTAATCTGAGGTGAAAGGAACCTAAGGAGAGGAAAAGATTTCAAGAAAGCATGAAACCAAGCAACCAGGATGAGGCGGACCACATAAAGGCAGAAGCATCTTCCCTGTAGCCTGGGAGATCCAGGAAATCAGAAGATGCCTCTTCAGAAGGGACGACCCAAATGCAGCTGCTCTAGACCTGAGGCAACTGGAAAGCATCACATGAACAGTGTGGGGAGCAGAATTCCTAGATGGCCCTTGAGAATCCCATCCTGGGTGCAGGCATCCTGACCATCTTCCTCACCTGAGTGTGAACGAAACTCGAAAATGTGGCAGGAATTCTCTTCTCAAGGTTAGATGATTTGTCAGCTGACGGGGTGAACAATACCTAGTCAGGTGAGCTAAGAGGAAGGCTGGGGTCCTAAGGGCAGCCAGAGGAATGGAAAGTGGGCTCCAGCATAACAACAGCAAGGAAACAGGATCTGACTTCTGACAACAGCCAGAGTTTCTGGAAAAGGCTCCCAAACCTCAGCCGATCAAAATCCAGCTGGGAAAGATTGGACAGAGGAACGAGGAATACCAAGCTCAGATTTCTGACCTAAGAAACAGAGCATTAATAAACCCATGTAGGCTTCAGGTATTCCGTTTGTGATGATTTAGGCATGTACCAATAAAAAGCCAATTCAGAGTGATTCATGAATTCAAATGTCAACATAGTTTAGTCAATGAAAATATTGCCAGGGTTTTGACTGCAGGAACTTCTCAATGCTCAGTGAGCTAGTTTAATGACTTAATAGCCATTACCTAAAAAAGCATCACACGTTAACATCATGATGAGGAGATCAAGGCAACGATGTCGGTGGAAAGTCACTGGTGCCAGTTCAATCCCAAGGTGGCCCAGGAAGCCCATCATAAATTTGGTGGAGGGGCTGTTGTGGGTGAGCCCCTGCCCTGGTCTCCTCACACTTGATCAGGACAGCTGCCCTCTCCAGCTTTCCCTTCTTTAGCTCAGGTCATGACTGCAGAGAACCTAGTCTCCTCCCTGGGCTGGACACCCTCCCACAGGGCTCCAGGGCCAAGGGTAACACCCAGGGTCGAAGCCCATTGGCCTCCAATGGACTGTCTTAACACTGACCACACTCATTAGCTTTATTAGTATGAATGAATGCATGAATCATGGCTAAAGAGTCTTCCCATATATGTGAACACAGAAGACTGTAATGGGAGTTCTTGGAGTGGGTTGTAATGTCATTCCTAAAGAGTCTCCCCATGTGTGAACACAGAAGACTATAATGTAAGGTTTTGGGGTTTTTTTTCTGGTCTTTTTGAGACGGGGTCTCCCTGTAGCCCCAGCTGGCCCAGAACTCACTATGTAGACCAGGCTGGATTTGAACCCACAGAGATCCACCTGTCTCTGCTGGGATTAAAGGTGTGTGCCACCACGCCTGGCTAATGTTAAGTCCTTACAGTGGGTTGTAATGTCATTCCTAGAGTCTTCCCATGTGTGAACACAGAAGACTATAATGTAAGTTCTACTGGGTTGCAATGTTCTTAGACATTTTTTTAAAAAATTACTCTTTGTTTTAATGTTTAAAAGTTAGATCCTTCATTTTCATAACTTTACTAGCTCTTTTATGCTAAGGAAATGCAAGTTCTAAAAATTATGCAACAACAACAACAGCACATGTTATGACTTACCTTGTAACTTTTTAGTCTGATGAAATCAACTTTCATAGACACGAATCGATCAGAATTTCGGCTGATGCTCTTAAGGTGCTCCACAAGATCAGCACAGAATTTGTAACCCCCTTTCAGCACACACAGGACTAGTATGTCATCGTACCCTATGTCTTTCATTATATCCTTAGCTAGCCGCTCAATTCTGAAAAAAGTAAGAAATAAAAAAATACAATAAAGTACAACTACTTCCAAGTATTTTGTTCCTGTAATGAAAATGCTGGCTATACATATCAGATCATTCAGGTGAATATGGAGAAAAGCTTGCGAAACAGAGAGCTTCAGGCAGAAAAGGTTTGTTCAGATTGGATGCAAAGATGTTCAAAAGTACTTCCAAGAGCTACCTCACAAGGTATCCCTGCTTCTGTATGTCGTAAATAGTAAGGCACACAGATCATGAATACTATCTATTCTTTCCATCTATTCTAACAGTCCCTATTTGTTAGCCTTTACAAGCTTTGATGGTATTTGCTGATATGCTTACTTGATAGCACAGAAAAAGGAAATAGAGAGTGACTCAATCACTTTACACTGGAAGAAAAGTCAAGCTCATTGTAACAATTAAAAAAAAGGGAGCACACACATATGTGAAAGATGCCCCCGAGAAGAGCGGCAGGAGGTGGCACAATGTGGAGGATGCTCCTTGGAGTTGTGCAGTGAACAGCAGCCTTGGACTGCCTGTGATAGCTTATTGGGACAAATGTACATTTCTTTCGACCTGTTTCTGGTTTGCAAATGCGTAGCCGCTCACTACACAAAATTAAAACCTTAAATGGAGACAAGATCTCAAGCATGTACTTAAAAAAAGTCCTCCCTGACATTTAAATGGAGCTGGAGTAAAACAGATGAACTGAACAATTTGTGAAAGCTTCTGTACAGCACAGGACACCATCATTCAAGTGAACAGACAACCTACAGAATGGGAAAAAAATGTTACCAGCTATACCTCTGACAGAGGGTTAGTATCTAGGATATACAAAGAACTCAGAAAACTAAGTATTAAAAAAATGTTCAACATCTTTAGTCATCAGGGAAGTGCAAATTAAAACCACACTGAGATTTTATCTTACCCCACTCAGAATGGCTAAGGTCCAAAAAACAAACAAAAACAAATGTTGGCAAGGATGTGGGGAAAGGGGAGCTCTTATTCACTTCTGGTGAGATTGCAAACTAGTGCAGCCACTGTGGAAATCAGTGTGGAGGTTCCTCAAAAAGCTAGAAATTGATCTACCATATGGCCCAGCCACACCACTCTTAGGCATGCACCCAGAAGACTCTATATCCTACTACAGAAACACCTGCTCATCCATGTTCACTGCTGCCCTTTTCATAATAGCCAGAAATGGGAAACAACCTAAATATCCATCAACTGATGAATGGATAATGAAGGTGTACATGTACACAATAGAATATTACTCAACTCTTAAAAATGAAATTATGAAATTTGCAGGTAAATGGATGGAACTTGAAACAATCATCCTGTGTGAGGTAACCCACACCCAGAAAGACAAACATCACATGTTCTCTCTCACAGATAGATGCTAGCTTTGAAATCTTAGATATGCGTGCCACAATCTGAAAATCCAGAGAAGTCAGGAAACAGGAGGGGAAGGTTTCCTGGAAGGGGAGGTAGAATGCAGTGATACGAAGGAGGAAAGGACAGTAATAAAGTAGGAAGGGTTAAATGGGGCAGGGAGTGGAAGCGCAGGGCAGAGGAGGGAGTGTGGGGTGGGATAACTAACATTAAAGGCCTTTAGAAAAAGCCACATGGAAACCTACCACTACAGAAGCTTCTTAAAGTATATACATATACATTATAAAAAGATATTAGAAGGAGTTACTGTATAACAGGGGAACACTGTCCCTACTAGACACCACAGGCTAGGAGAGTAAAAGCACAGTGCCAGGAATGGACTCCCTCTTTTGAAGCTATTGACCAGGGGTCCTACAGACCTTCAAATAATACTGGGCATTGCCCCTTGTCTTGGTTATCCACCAGAACTTCATGGTAAGACTGTATTGCTAAAGACTATGTCCATGAGCTGTAGCACAAACAGGGAGAAATCAAGCTGGTGCTGACTTCAAAGCCTCATCTCTACTGGCTAGTGTTCATAGTGCTGGAAGGTGCTATGCATGCTACCTGAAGAAAAAATTAATCATCATCCTTACCCAGCTGTGACTCCTGCAAGCTATAACAACTGGCCTGGCAAGATATGCCCACCAGAGCCCATACCTGACATTGACATCAGACCTATGAACCTGAGGCTAGACAGGTGACAGGCCATAGGGGAGAGCCCAATACTAGTTTTCTGCTAAATAGATATAGTATTGAACTGATTCCTAATGACATTGTTATACCCACAGATTAATGCATCTCTCAACTCTCAGCAGATGTGTTTCCTTCTGCAGCAGATGGTGATTAACAGAGAAACCCACAAGTGGCCAACATACAGAGAACAAGAGGCTGCAGAGCGCTTATCTCTGAATAGGACACCTATGTCAAACTTCTGCCTCCCAAGATTCAGAGGTCATTGTGGAAGAGGAGGTAGAAAGATTGTAAGAGCCAGAGGTGGTGGATGACCACAAGGAAACAGTTTTCCAGACAGCTGATCAGTTACTCATATGAACTTACAGCAATGGTGGCAGCATGCACAAGTCCTCTGCAAGCTCAAACCAGAGAAGATCCCAGCTTAGATGTGGGGAAGTGGGTGAGAAACCAACCCTACCTCAGGAACTATTGGCAACTGATGGCTGAGGGGACAGGGAGAGTCAGTGTCTTTCAAGGGTGTGACTCTCAGCAGGTTAACCAAGCTCCAGTGGGTGGACATTTGGGGACACAAATTAGATGTGCTAGGCCTTAGTGTACATATAAAATAAGAGTACATTGAATTGGGCAGGGGACAGTAAGGGGAAGTATGGACACAGGAAGGGATCTAAATACCATCAAAATATTGTATGAAAATTGCAAAAATTCAATAAAAAAGGGGAAAAAATCTCCACCAGCATTTAAATGGAATAAGATTTTAAGAAGATGAATGGAACTATCCATATACACATATAATTTTATGTTCCCTATAGTCTACATGTTATATATATATATATATGTATATTCCATACACACTTTTCTAAGTGTGCATGTGCAGGTACACACATAGAGTGGTGGCTATATTTTTAGGCAGTATTGCTCTAAATACGATCACCCAAATATTGTGCATCATAACACCTGTCATGCTCTTTACAAAGGGACATTTGCATTTATAAATTTTTAAAATTACATTATTTGTTTTGTGTCTGTGTCTATGTGCACACACATGTATCACAGTGTGTGTGTGTGTGTGTGTGTGTGTGTGTGTGTGTAGGTCAGAGGAAGAAGCTAATAAGAAAATGACAAAACCAGCCACAGAACGGGAAGAAAATATTTGCAAACCATGCATCCAATAAAGGACTTGTTATATATCTTTAGCTCAACAGGAAAACAAACAATCAAAATTTTAAAATGGCAAAAGAGGGGCTGGAGAGATGGCTCAGTGGTTAAGGGCACTGGTTGCTCTTGCAGAGGACCTGGGTTTGGTTCTCAGCACCCACATGGCTCATAGCCATCCATAACTCCAGTTCTAGGGGATGATGCCCTCTTTAGACCTCCATGGGCATTACATGCATGTGGTGCTCTTACATGCATGTAGGTAAAACATTCATACACATAAAATAAATAAAAGTGGAAAAAGACTTGACTAGATATCTTGCCACCCCCACAAAAATGAATATGAATAAGCCAATAAGCACAGTAATGATTCAGAAAATATAAGTTCAAATCACAGTGAGAGATGATTATACATCCATTAGGATGCCTACAGCCCAAAGGCCAGACAGAATAAAATGTTGTAAAGTATATAGAGAAACTGGGATTGGATTATTAGTGGGGTTGGAAAATGGTGCAGCCACTGCAATAAATAACCTTACTGGGAAGCCCAGAATTGTACTCCAAGAAAGCCATTCAGAAGTGAAAAGATGCATTCATAACAAGAATTATATGTATATTATTCACAAGTAAAAATCAGAAAGCCAAATATTCATCAGCTGCTGAATCCCTGATTAGATGTATGATTTTATTTTCATGAAATATCCCAAGAAACAAAGTTATAGGGAAAGAAAGCAGATTAGTAACTGCCTGACAGTGGGATGATGGCAGTGCAAGGTTGGACTGTGGAGACGGGTGGCCACAAGCAGTGAATTCTGTAGTCTGGAGATGGGTGGCCACAAGCAGTGAATTCTGCAAAGTATATTTAATGTTTATTTTAAAGGCAAGGACTGCATTCCTGGGCCTAACCCAGACCTCCGATGCAGGAATTACAGACAGAAAGGGTAACAATATGCTCTCTAACACTTTCACTGGGCAATTCTGCTGGACACAGAAAGGCCTAGCATCTTTACACCCTGGACTCAACCATGTTTTAGATCAGGATGCATTGATCTAAGACCACAAAATGCAAGTGAGAAAGCAAGAAGTTGTTTAAACAAGGGGCCTCCTGAACTGATTTTAAGGGAAACTGCTTCTGAGAGATGAAAACGTGAACAAATGAAGTCTTCTACATAAAGTTGATTTCATTGTTTGAGTCAAGAAGGCTTTATTACATTTTTGGTCAAAATTTCCAAAATTTCCATTAGTAGGTCAATGAGATTTTGCAGTTTGGAAAAACGTACAATTTCTCAAATTCATTTGATGATGGAATTTCTCTCCCTTCTAAGGATCACATTTGTTTGCCCTGGAAAATCTATCTTAGGTCATGAAAAACCCCAGACTAGAACTTATCTTAACAATATACTGCAAATTGAGGGAATAAACAAGACACATCTGATACAATGGAAATTTAATGAAATCTTGAAATTTGTGAGGAAGAATGACATTTACTTTTCTCATTAAGAGTGATTAATGAAAAGATAATACTCTAGGGAAAGTGTCCAATGGGTGTTTTTGAACTCTCTCTTGTTTTGAAGACTTAGCTCACAGCATTAACTTTAACCCCAGAAGACCGTAACAGACTGGAAAACAGCAGAGGTAAGGGCAGAAGGTAGGCTTAGCCCAGGGACCCCAATTTTCCACTCTCCACTGTCTTTCCATCTGATTCTGGGCCTCTGATGATTCTGGGCCAGATAGTAGGCTACCCAGGCCCAGAAGGCTTCCATGTGAATGTGAAGGCTTAAGTATTCAGCCCTACAGGAACAGCTCTGTTTTGTTAAAGGGGTGTGACCTACAAATCCCAGTGCGAGGTAGGCTGAGGCAGAGGTGGCCTTTTGAAAACCAAGAGTAAGATGAAATGATTCAGGGCCCTAGAGCAGGAGAGAAAATATTTGGGAAAGCTGAGCAGCTAAAAAGTCGCCAAAGGAGGTCTGTGTAGACCAGCAGGAAAGAGCGAGAACAGTGTGACAGAGTAATTCTCCAAGGGTGGTTTTAAACTGCAAGTGCTGCTATTCTCAAAACATGACCCCTAGCCAGGAAAATTGACCCTATGCCAACTGACCACTGGCCTGTGACATGCTTTGGTTCAAGAGAACTGAAAGTTGCAGGGAAAGTCAGGGTTTTGAGGATGTGTCCTGTGAAGGTAAAGTTCACTTTTTGACTCTTCTTCCTGGTTAATTCAAATGTCTGTGAAAAGCATGAGGCAAAGGGTTGGGGGATATTGGGAGGGAGGCCGTGCTTTCTGGTCCCCCACTCATGGTTTGAACTGGACGTTGGTACTGAGAGGTTGTTATTCTCATAGTTTAAATGTGTATAGCCTTCTTACCATTCCTCCTGAACAAATGCCCAGGTATACCGTTCTATTAACGTGCACATTCTTTGTAGTTCAAATTTGCTATCCTAAAGAAGTCCTCTCTACCACTAAAGAAATGGGCTGAGGAATAAGGTTCTTAAGTCCTGCAGGATTCACAGAGGGGGTCATCCCAACACAACACTCACCTGTCCACTATGATGCCATGTGGTATAAGCACACACTCAAGGTCTCCATAATAGTGCTGTGGGTACGTGAACAAATCCAAGTCATATCCTGGCCAATTATCCATAAGCTGTAAATCAAAGTAGTTTGGTTATGGCATTTTTCATTATTGATATATTTAAAACTGTAAATAACAACAAAAACTCATTTGAAAATCAGAATAATGCTGAATACAGAGAATAAATTTGCATATCTCAATAAATTAATATACTCTCTCAACCTAGGAAAAGCGCAACGAAAAGAGGTTATTTGCTTATTGCAACCTGAAAAAAACAACTTAGTACTAAAATGAACAGTGTGCTCCCTTCCTATTTGTGCTGTATAATAAAAACAAACTTGATATCTTATAGCTAACCTGATAGACCCATGCAGAAGAACATGTTTATGTGAGGACTGGCAATGTAGTTCAAACATACAGTGAGTGCCTCGCGTGACTGAAGCCTTGGGTTCACTCTCTGGCACTGTAATAAAATAAAAATCTATAGGGGATGGAGAGATGGCTCAGCGGTTAAGAACTCCACTGGCTGTTCTTGCAGAAGACCCAGGTTCGAATCCCAGCGCCCACATGGCAGCTAACAATGGTCTGTAACTCCAGTTCCAGGGGATCCAACAGCCGACAGGGGTACACTTACCTATGTGCAGGCAATACATGCATACACATTAATTAAAAAAATAAATAAAATTTTGAAAAAAAAAAAAAGAAAAGGGATTATGAATCTCACTGAATGGAGTCAAAGGGTTGTTACTGTCCTTAGAAATGTCAAGGCAGTTGTTTATGTTTAACTGTGAACAAATAAAAACTTACTGTTTAAAAAATAGGTATGTGTTTGCATCTAAATTTAAAATAGTATCACTATGCACAGGCATACTTACAGACATGCAGGCAAAACACTAATTTATAAAATAAAAATAAATAAATAAAAATTAAAATGAAAAGTTAAAATATCACCACACTGTAACATTTATAACCCTATGTATCAGCATCATGATGCATCCTACATTTCTATTCATGTAACTGTCTCTTTTGTCGGGAAAGTTTACCATGAAAAGTATATCCTGGAAGTACAGTGGACCCAGACCTCTGAGTGCTCCTGTTGGTATAGACTTTAAGAGCGTGCTCGGCACTGGGGACTCTGACTAGTCCAATTGGGAATAGGACTGAAAACAGAAAACAGAAAACAAAAAAACTGGCCTATGCACAGGACACTTAGAATTAGATGTAGAAGCTTCCTGTTGAGAACAATGACAAAATGTGGAAGAAAATGAGGCAAAGGATGCAAAAATGTTTTGTATTCAACCTTTCTGTAGCTGACTTTAGATTCCTCTCTTCAGTCATTCCTCCACACCTTCAAGGGCCTCCTGGGTCTAGCTTTGCTGTGGAGGGCTTTGTAATGTAGACTCATCTTGACTTTCTAGCTCACCTATCTACTCCCTGCCCTCAGCTTGGTTTTCAGTCCATTCATGATTCATATATATATATATATTTGTGTTGTCCACATACTCCTGGGTGTGTGTCCATTGGAGCATGACTCACCTAGCAGGGCCTCTGCCTCTCCAAGAAGCCATCAACTGTCACTAGCTCCTTAGTTAGGGGTGGGCGCTCATGAGCCCCGTCCCCCTCCATGCTGGAATGCTGACTGGCTCAATTTAGGGCAGGTCTATGCAGGCAGCCGCAACTACTGTGAGTTCATGAGTGCAACAGTCTTGTCATGTCTAGAAGGTACTGTTGCCTTCTGGCCCTCCCCGACCTCTGGCTTTTATAGTTTTTCCACATCCTCTTCCAAGATGGTCCCTGAGCCTTAAGGGGAAGGGTGTGATACAGATGTCCCGTTTGTGCCTGAACACTCGACAGACACTTATTCTCTGTACTTTGGCCAGTTGTGAGTTCCTGTATTGAACACAGTTCACTGTACTAGGAAACTTCTCTGATGAGGGCTGCGAGCTGCACTAATCTATGGGTATAGCGATATGAATTTAGAAGGCAGGTTGATATTATGTCCATTTAACAATATAGTAGTAGGTTTACTCCTGGGGCCTATGAGCTCCCAGTCATGGGTTCTTGGCCAGTTTTACAGCATGTGTTTCCTCCTGTGGGGTGGGCCTTAAATTCATCAGAAAATAGTTGATTACCCCTATAACATTCAGGCCAGTATGGCACCCATGAGCATATCTTGCCATGCCAGTCATTGTTGTAGCTCAGAGGTCACAGCTGGATAAGACTGTTGATGATTTTTTCCCCTTCAAAAGCCTGCTAACCAGTAGGGAGGATGCTTCCTTGTCAGCACCAACTGATTTCTCCATGTCCTATGACCAAAGCATGTGGTGTCTTCAGCAATAGGCTCTTACCATCACGTTCCAGGAAGCAACCAAGAGCACCAGCAACAACTTGCATTGTCCTGGAGGTCTGTAAGACACCCCATGATTCTTCCTAGCTCCGTTCCCTTTCTTCTCTCTCTCTTTGTACGCCAAAGTCATCGTCCTCTTGGGAGCTCAGGTCAGGCCCACTTCTTCCTAGAAGCCTTGCCGATTGCTCTCATCTTGGGGTTGATGTCTCTCTACCTTTGGGGTTCCTTGTAGTCTCTCTTTTAGCAAAGGCTCTAGCCCTGGCTCATTGAGAACATCCTTACATCTTCTACGCTCAGGCTCTGTCTTATCTGTTTGCTGCTGGTTACAGTCCATTCATAGTCATACAATTTTGTGCTGAGACATTCCCCTGCTCCCTCTGCCCCATATGCAGGACTCAAAACCAGCTCCCTTTTGCTCAGGTTTTAGAAAGGAGGTTTCAGGTGTAGCCACTGTTGTTCCAGTTTTTGGCTCTAAAATGTCAGCCAAACTGAAATCATGCCATTTCTCCCCAAATTTATGCTTTCCATGTCTCCGGAAAAGACAGCTCATTCTTCTAGTTCTTCAAACCAAAACCTTGGCAGTGGCCTCCTTCCTTCCTCTCATCCTCCACACGAACCCCTTGGTTCATCCTGTCCTCGCTCCCTCCAAATGGAAGCAGGACCACATCCGACCATCTCGAGTGCTGTGTCTCTGTCCCCATTCAGGTCCACACCACCATCATCTCTCTCTGGACCATCCCAACAACAGGTGCATGTGCTTGCTTCTACATTGGCATTCGCCTGCATGGCAGCCGTAGGGCTCTTTGAGGAGTGCACCTCACATCAGGGCAGCCTCCCACTCAGACTTTTTCAAGGACCTCTCACTTCATGCTGAGTAAAACCCAGACTCCTTGCCATGGCCTGCAAGCACCCAACTCTCCTGATTGTCTGGCACTGAATTTCCTCCTTCGCTCTAGCCACTGTTCGTTGATTGAATCTGATGGAAATGCTTAGTATTTGCTATTTCTTTAGCCTAAAGTCCTTTTCTTTCAGATGGCCACATGGCTTGCAAGTTCTTTTCTCAAGGCTTCGTTCAGTGTCACCTCTACAGAGGCCTTTCCTGACCACATATATAAACTGACACCTTCCTTTTCCATCCTATCTCTGTATCCTTCATATCTAGTTTTACTTAATAGTATATTACCACTAAATGTGGAGGAGAGAGAGAGAGAGAGAGAGAGAGAGAGAGAGAGAGTTGTGTATTCTGACTTGCCTCCTTTCCTTATTTATAGTTCAATGCCCAGTGCTCAGACCTCTGAGCCAAAATCTGGCATGTGCCATAAAGTGTTCAACAATCAAATGAATGAAATAGTTTCAATTCACACACAATCCAACTATTTGAACTCCAGCCCCATGCCTGTGTGTGATTAAAAATGACCACTGTTCAAAGTTCTGGATATTTACAGCTGTCACACTGTCCAGAGAGTGTATGCCATCTACATACTTGAAAAGTATCACATTTGGTGCACCTGCACCAGCAAACTGGTTGGTGGGACAGTTGAACCTGTATGGAGAAACTCTGGCTCCCATCCTGCAGATTCCTGGAGTCTGCTGTAACCTCTAATACCAGAGTGGCAGGTCAGAGTGTGGCCTAGCAGCTGTACCTGAGTAACATCCAGCTTCCATGACAGCCTCTGGCATAGCAAAGACCTCCAGGGAGATCACCCAAGCACTTTCTGGTGCTCCTTCTCCACACACGCTCCACTTCCTGGAGTCCTTCTTCTCCAGGTATCAGTAAGTAGTGGTTGTCTGAGCTTATGCCTCCCTCCATGCAAACCCTTTACTGCTCTTTGATCTGAATCTCAGAGACTGCTCTCTACTCCAAACTCAAGTTCTGCTTTCTGAGTCTTACTGCAATGAGGTTAGGGAGACTCAGTTTCCCCTCCCTCCCTCCTTCTTTCTCCTCATTCTCTTCCTCCTGCTCCTCCTCCTTGCTCCCCCTTCCCCCCCCTCCTCTTCATTATTCTTTTTTGAATATTCTTACTGGTTGGCCTGGAACTTGCCATGTAGACTAGGCTGACCTGGAATTCAGAGATCTACCTGCCTCTACTGCTGAGTGCTGAGATTAAAGGCCCACACTATTACACCTGGCCCTCCCTTTTAGTACAATGACTCATACATAAGTTCATAATAAGTGCTTAACAAGTGAAGAAAAAAATATATGAAAGCCAAAGAGAAGGAAAAGATGATAAGAAAATCATGAAACAGATCTGTCCATGAAGACTGTATGTAATGGCAATCAGCTCAGAGGCAACATGAGTAAAACTAGGTAGCACAGACTTAAAAGTCTAACACCTCTGGGTCAAGTCTGTTAGCTTGGTATCTTGGGCATGTTAATGTCTCTAAAATGAAGCCAATGCCTGCCTCACATAGCTATTGTGAGTATTATATAGGATAGATAATTAATAAAGATTCAGCAGCGTGTGGTCTGTAGCACTTACACAAGGAATATTAACCATGTAGATGTATGGAAACATCAATTGCTTATATAACACTTATATAAATACATTTTAATTCATTTAAAGAATACCTCAATGCTATTTGCCAAAGTCCTATTACCCCAGTTAAAGCGGTAAGCGTAAATCTGGAAAAATGCATTTCCCTAAAACTATTCCACTAATCCCCAAAGGGCAGTATTCCAATTGCTCTGAAACACTGTTTCCATTGCTGAGATAAAAGACAACTAGAGAAGGAACTCCCAGTTTATGCTTTGCCATCTTCGCATATGAGTTCTGTGATAATAAGTCTAAATCTGGAAGGATGCAGGGTCCTCTGGAACTTAGGTAATTACCTCACTTGCTTAAAAAAACAAAACAAAACAAAAAAACAAGGAATCTTTAGATAGTTTCAGAATCACAGATAATATGCTGTAAGTTTAGTCTTTCTCTGTTCCAAGAGGAAAGACACTGCCAAGCTGGGGAAGTGGCAAACACATTAACTAAGTCGTTGTACACAGCATCTCAACCACGGAGCCCATCTCACTCTCTTTTTCTCATCTGAAGCTACAATGAAAGCTTTCTAAGTCATACATACATACATATA